CCTAATGTGCTTCTAGTGTTTTAACTTTTGGTTGCATCCACACTGCAGAAATAATCCAGTTTGACACCACTTTAATAGGAATTGTTAGTTTTGTGAGCTATTTAGTTTTCTCTACCAGAGATCTCTGGTGCCACAACAAACTATAATTCCCAGAATTCCACAGCATGGTGCCATGGCAGTTAAAGCAGTGTCAAACTTAGATTGTACTCAGCCCTCCGCATTTGCGGATTTAATTATTTGTGGATTTGATTTATATGCTTTCTCTGGGAATCTCTAGGGGCCTTTGCAGACTGCTAGAAATAGTGCAAATTGAGTCCACTTTTAGGGTTAGGGTTAGGGAATCATGGGAACTGTATTTTATTGTGGCACCAGAGCTCTCTGACAGAGAAGGCTCAATGTCTCAGAAAAAAAACAATTCCCATGATTCCCTAACCCTAACCCTAACCCTTAAAGTGGACTCAATTTGCACTATTTCTGGCAGTCTGCAAAGGCCTTAGGTCCTCCAGAGAAATTCTGCTGGAAGTTGGCCATAGATTTGCACTGGAGGACCTAAAGATTCCTAGAGAAAACACCTCTCTAGGCATTTGTAGGTCCTGCAACATGATTCTGTTGTCAAAGTCTGGCAGATGTTTAGACATTACATTCTGTTTGTTCAGGATTGAGCTGGACTTCACACAGATGTACAGATTTTGGGAGATCCAGGTTCACGTTCCCGTTGCCCAAAAACTCACTGGGGCTGCATCCACACTGCAGAATTAATACAGTTTGATACCGCTTTAGTTGCCATGGTTCAATGTTAAGGAATTTTGGGATGTGTAGTGTTTAGCTTTCTCTGTTAGAGAGCCAGGGCTGCAGCAAACTACAAATCCCAATATTCCACAGGATGGAACCATGGCAGTTAAAGCGGTGTCAAACTGCATTATTTCTGCAGTGCAGATTATACCTCAGGAGTAATGTGCCTTCAATGCCCAGAGAGTGATGCCAAATAAGTCCAGGAAGCTGAGTAACCATTATAGTTCTCAACATATTTGTTATTGCTGTGTGTCTTCAAGCCATTTCCAACTTACAGTCTGACACTGCTTTAACTGCCATGGCTCCATGTTAAGGATGTGAAGTGTTTGTGAGATATTTAGCATTCTCTGTCAGAGAGCTCTGGGGCCACAGCAAACTACAAGTCCCAGGATTCCCTAGGATGGAGCCAGAATTACAGCACTATAAAACCACATTTTACGTACTCCTGGGATTCTCGGCTGAGGGAGGGGTGTTTCGAATTCCCAGGAAAAGAGCTTCAGCGTCACACGAAACTACAAATCCCAGGACTCCATAGGATGGAACCAAGGCAGTTAAAGTGGAATAATAGTGCTGTAATTTCTGTGATGTGAATGGGCCTGCAGATTTCACCTGTGAAATGCTGGCAGGTATGGAAGCTTCTGTGCCTCTTTTGATCAAAGTTAGCTCCACTATCATGAGAAAGAAGATGCTTTTCTTTATTTTTTGCTCCTTATTTATTTTCTTAGTATCATCTCTTATTGTTAAAAATCGAGGAACGAAATAAAACCTGTAGTAACATTAACATAACAGCAATAAAGGTAGCATAGTAGAACATCTCTATACCCCACAAAGAAAAGAACAAACACGACATAGGGCCTTTGCAGACTGCCAGAAATAGTGCAAATTGAGTCCACTTTTAGGGTTAGGGTTAGTGCTAGGGAATCATGGGAATTGGGTTTTTTTTCTGAGACATTGAGCCTTCTCTGTCAGAGAGCTCTGGTGCCACAATAAAATACAGTTCCCATGATTCCCTAACCCTAACCCTTAAAGTGGACTCAAGTTGCACTGTTTCTGGAAGTCTGCAAAGGCCCATACTCGCATACACAATATAACATACCATCCAAATAACACTGTAACATAAGATAAACAAGTAACAAATGCCTTCCTTCCCATCAGACCTTGCTATTTTTGGTCCAAAACACACTGCAGAAATAATCCAGTTTGAGACTGCTTTAACTGCCCTGGCTCAATGCTAGGAAATTCTGGGAACTGTAGTTTTGTGAGACATTTAGCCTTCTCTGTCAGAGAGCTCTGGGGGCCACAATAAACTACAATTCCCAAGATTCCCTAGCACTGAGCCAGGGCAGTTAAAGCAGTCTCAAACTGGATTATTTCTGCAGTGCGTTTTTGTGCCATTGTCCAATTATACGATCTATCTTAATCTTAAGGATTCAATTATTCACCCTACTTTTAAATCTAATTTTTCCTACACATATTTTCAAAACATAGCATCTTAGATTCAGATATGAAAATGATTATTTAATACACTTTGATGAATCAATCTGTTTGTCTGTCTATCTATTTACTGTATTTATACCCCGCTCATCCATATATATAATATATTCCATCTATTCTATACCAACACAGCTACATTTTCCATCCTCTGTAGCCATTTTAATGTTGATAATGATTTAATATATTTTTAGGGGGGGCATTATATGTCTACTATAATTGCATGGGATTGTATTTTAATTGTAAGCCGTCTTGATAGCCTCGACTAAAGGCGGCATATAAATATTATTATTATTATTATTATTATTATTACTACTATCCTAGTTTGGTCAATTTTCCTCTTATTCTCTTAAGACTGATCACAAATAATTATCCCCTCTTTTTCCCCCTAAATATTTTATAATTATATTCCAATTTTTTACAAATGTTTCCTCCGATTTGTCTTTCAATTGGAGCGCCAGCTCATCTAACTCCATTGTTTCATATGTTTTCATGAGCCAGTCTCCAACTTTTGGAATGCCAAAAGGGGATGGATGCCTTTCCATTGCAGAGATCCTTTAACATTAAATACATGTGAGCAATGAGCCAAACTGATGAAGCTAGTTCAGCTGTTGGCAGTTCTCAAAGGCAAAGCAGAAGGATCTTTATAGCTTATTAGTGAGAAAGCACCAAGTTTATATGCAGAAAGTGCCATCTTCTGGCTTCAGGTATGTGGTAGAGGTCAAAAAGAAATGGTTGTTTTGTGCATTTATGTCATTTCTGGCTCATGGGAACCCTAAGCTATGCAGAGGGGCGGGGTACAAATTATTATTATTATTATTATTATT